AATTCCGCGAAACCATATGCCTATTTCTTATACATACGCCACAATAAGGTATTTTGTGACAAAAAGAAATTGAAAAGTGAATTATGAGCGTTATTATTAGGCATGGCTTATTAATCCTTACAAGCAAAAGTTACTTCATCGTCAAGACAATTTTATGAAGATAAACTTTGCTCTTTATAACATGTTATTTGGATTCATATTAGAGATAATGTAAAATTAAAATAATAAAAAATGGGCTTGGCGCGCGAAGGACGCATAAACCCTAGCCGCCTAGCCTAACGCCTAGATCCGAGAGAAATCAGGACTGAATGTTTCCAAGAGCGAGGTTAGTTCAATCCTTTGAGCTAAAGTTACAGTGACGCTCAACCGGGAGGAGGGAGAATGGCTAAAATTTAACTTCGCTCGCACATAAATTTTTCCATACATTGTTATCTATAATGCATGAACTGGGTGTCATGCTGTCATGTCATGTAGGGCGCCTCAGACAAGTGATATACGCGGATGAAACCGCAGGGCACAGCTAGTAATTTTAATAAAACAACTCAACTTAGTTAAAAAATGTCGGTTGCCTCTAGATTACCATGCCGTAGATATAAAGATATAAATATGCAGTAGATATAAAGATTTTCAAAAATTTGCCATACGTTTGGCAAGCGGATTAGAGCGATTTCGTCATGACCACAAGAAATTTTTCTGGTTTGTTCTATATCGAGGACTGAGCTGTCGTGACGTTAGTATTACATCAGGATCTTGATATACATAATATCTGTCTTTCAGTCTAAACTCGAAACACCGTAAATGGGTGTCTACTGATCAGGTTCAAGATAAAATCATTAGCGTGCGTGTTGAAAAGATCAGAATAGGTTCCTGCCAACAACAATCTAGCTGGAGCACTCGTACAACTTTATTACACAATTTTCTCTGCATTGTAGTCTACAATAAAATAATAAAGTGTTCATTTAAAGAAACAGAAACAAGTAAAAGGTCTAGGCATAGGATTGGGAACCATAGTATAAGAAATAAATTTAAAATTTATTAATTAGGTACCTCTTTGAACGCTAGTTCCCTATGATTCCATAAAAATCTAACATTACCTACTTCTTAGGTAACTTGAAAAAAGTTACAGCCTATTACGTCCCACTGCTGGGCACAGGCCTCCTCTTATTTCTGAGGGGTTTTAGGGCAAGGAAATGTCCGTCGCGCTGCCCCGAAGAATGTTGACGAACTTCACATCTTAGAAACATTTCTTTTCTTACCTCAAATATGCAGGTTTCCTCACTATGTTTTCCTTCACAGCCGAGCACGGCCTGGTAAGGAAGCGTGGCGGCGTAAGGAAATACACTAACCTATATTATGATTCTGTGAGTATCGTAAGAGGCGATAAAGGGATTGAAACAAGAGATGAAAAAAATAAAAAAAACTGGTAACCAACCGCCGGTTGCCAAGCATGGCAACTATGGCAAAATTTCCTATAAGGCAATCTATGAGGAAAGCTTAAAACATTTAGATTCAATTACATACTGTTTTGCCGTGTAGTATCGGCGTTTCTAGACAACCTATCACTGATGGGTTACATTACTAATAGTAGTAAGTACAGTGGAAAATTTTTGTTTCTCTTATCTAAATGATTCTCATGAGTTCGTTAACATTCCAAATGCAACTCCCATAGTAAGAGATAATTTGCCGATATTGTCTGCGACCCTTAGCAGGGTAGATTTGCGATTGCAGTATCAAATGTTTTGCAATTAGGATACTGTTTTGAGTCACTGACCTGGATATATTCAACCTAGGTTTGCAATAAATCCAGTGATCTTTTTTTTAGATCAGCTGAGTTTTAACAACAGCTGCACATGCTATGATTGTACAGAATAATTATAATATTGTTTGTTAATGTTAAGACATAATATGTACGCACCAGATGCCTTATCCATCTATTAATTATAATTAGCGCTTGCGAGTACTGCGGGGCAGCATGTTATTTTTTTGATTTGTACTTATTACCGTTATTAACTCAAATTATTTATTAGGCCCATGCACTCTGTCTTCATTTGGTTTTCGATATGATTTAAATATGGTCTGGCCATATTCAATTTTATATTCTAAACACTCTGCCTGCTTAGATTGGATTTTTTTTATTGAATAAGAGTTACAAACGAGCACACAGTCCACCTGATGGTAAGTGGATGCTGTGGCCCATAGACATCTACATCTAACCTAGATTAAAAATTAATATGCAGATGCGTCGTCGCCGTCACACACAGGACTAAATGAATGCGTCGTATGTAGTAGAAAGGGTCACCAGGTCTCTACATTAACCATACGAAACACAGCAGCATTAAACTGCTCTTTTACGCTGATATTTCTGTGAGAGCGTGGTCCTTCCTGATCGAGAGCCATTCGTACTACAACCATAATATAATATCTAAGGTACGTTGGGGTAAGATCGGTGATGGGGCAAGACCGTAGGATTCAAATTCCCGGTGAATTATGCTATATTTTAAAAAGCTAACAATATGAGGTACGTTGGGGTAAGATCGGTGATGGGGCAAGACCGTAGGATTCAAATTCCCGGCGAATTATGCTATATTTTGAAAAGCTAACAATATGCTACACGACACCATTTCATCCTGCCCCGACCCTCAGTTCGCGCCAGTCACTCCGGCAAGTGGGACCTGTGCTGCGTGGCATTTTATAAAACAATGTAATTTTTGTATTATTTTTGTCCATCCGATCTTTCCCTATCACTTTTATTTACGATTTTTAGCGAGAATATGGCTTCTTTTGTTATTATTTTGTGTGGATACGAATTTTTATGAAGTTATAGCTAAATAAAGCTGGTCCATGCAGGGGTAAGATCGCTGTAGGCCGAGATCCGATGTTTCCCCTCGTGAGTGAAGATCGGATGAATATTATCCGATCTTTGCCTGTTACAAATATGGCAGTGGTTGTTAAACTTTCATTGGTCGTGTATATTTTTTCGTTGATTACTCAAGTGACTATGGGACTCAGTCTCGTTGGCAAGTCTGTATATTTAAAAGTAATAAAACAATACGATGGTTTTATTACTTTTAAGTACACATTAAAATACATTTTTTTTATAGGATAAGGGTGACAAAGGAGCACACAGTCCACCTGATGTTAAGTGATTGCTGCGGCCCATAGACATCTATATCTTTCCTCTATTACAAATCAAAATGTAATTTATAATAATTATTTAAAAAATAATTTATAATAATAAATGCCGCTTTGTTAAAATATTTATATCTTCCTTAACTCCTGCATTATCCCAGGGCATTTCGCCAGTCCTTACTGTTATTTTTTTCCCATATAAAATCAAATGCATCCGATCTTTCTCTTATATTGAGTAATTCCATCTTATGTCATAACAAAGTTTGAGAAACATAAAATTACAATTTCTTTATATTAGGGATAAGATCGGATGGCAAGAAACAAAAAAAGAGAAAATCGTTTGGAACATTTATGTTTCTAGTAATTTATAGATCATATTGAAATATGTTTTTGAGCGTTAAATATAGGACAAATCTCTTTTATAAACTTTTTTCTCTAAGCAGTAGAAGTGGTTTTAAATTTAAGTCCGGTCTTACCCCTTAATGGCCAATTTTTCATTATGCATATAAAAAAGTATGTATAGTTTTCGCACACCTTTAAAGCAGAAACCGTTGAGTTTACACAAGTAAAAGATTCTCAGAGCTAAACTACGTTTAACGATTAACGGTTTGCTCCATGTTCCATAAATCTGACGTATACGAATGTCGAGAAATTAAAGTTTTTGGCAGACTCTTCCAACTATTCGAAAATCCGTCCGGTATTACCCCAACGTACCTTGCTACACGACGCAATTTCATCCTGCCCCGACCCTCAGTTCGCGCCAGTCACTCCGGCAAGTGGGACCTGTGCTGCGCGGCATTTTATGAAACAATGTAATTTTTATATTATTTTTGTCCATCCGATCTTTCCCTATGGAATGAAATGAATGAAAAATGGCGAGAATATGGCTTCTTTTGTTATTATTTTGTGTGGATACTAATTTTTATGAAGTTATAGCTAAATAAAGCTGGTCCATGCAGGGGTAAGATCGCTGTAGGCCGAGATCCGATGTTTCCCCGCGTGAGTGAAGATCTTGCCATTCGATCTTATCCCTGATATAAAGAAATTGTAATTTTATGTTTCTCAAACTTTGTTATGACATAAGATGGAATTACTCAATATAAGAGAAAGATCGGATGCATTTGATTTTATATGGGAAAAAATATTGTAGACTGCCACTAAGCATAGTTCCGAGTAAGCTGCATTTCATGACTGATTGCATTTTTCATCAGGTTATCACGCCATCTTGTGGGGGTAGCCCAACACTCAAGATGTTTTCCTTCATCACCTACTATATGGTAAATCAGAAATTAAAATTAACAATGTCATTGATGCCAGAGAGAATTGCAATCGGGTTGCTCACACTGTGAAATTTACAGCAAGCACTTTGCAATAAGGTACCATAGCTCTCAGTACATAATATACATACTGCAAAAATGTTATATTGATCACTAATTATCATCCATATTTCCATGTTTATATTTCATCATTGTAATGGTTTGTTAAAATTAGAACTGTTTAATGATTTGTTATATTTACGTGAATACTGCACATAAAATAAAACTAATTTTATGGATTTTATCTCATTTAATTTTAACTTCTTCAATTCCCGAGGTTTCAGGCACTTTCCAACGCCCATGGTCACTCGGGGGAATGAGATGTATGACGTCCCGATATCATAGTTAACGAAGGCTATATTCAACTTTCAATTATTAATTTTGGTCCGATCTACGCAGAACGAGCTTGCAGAACTTGAAGTCTTGCAGTAGTATGCTTGGCCCAAGTTAAAATTAAACGCGATAAAATCCGTAAAATTACTTTTTTTTACGAGTAGAACTGTTTACTGTAAAGAAAAATAAAATAAAATTTATAACTTAATTTGTAATTTATTTTTATAGCTGTATTTGAATGAAAGAATGTTTTAAACAATCTGTTGGAGATAATCTTCGTTTATCATCCAATATCAGCATCTTATCTAATAAATCCTTAAGCTGAGTAACTTTTTTCTCCTCAGGTGGTGTTAAAAGTTTGAAATATTTTTTTAAATCACGGTGAAGATCTCTAGAAATATCAATATTACAAACTTCAATAACCTTTTCCCTTTCAGTAACTTTATCTTTTTTGTGTAAAAGAAAATTGTTTTTATAGTTGAAATGTTGATCTTTGAATTTACCTTTTTTAAGTAATTTACCAGGAATTTTACCCTTTAAATCCATAATGCACTTCAGCATTTTATTATTAGATCCTCCCGTAAATAATATTGTGTTTGTTGCCATTTCATATATTGTACATGCTGTAGACCATATGTCAACTCCATAGCTATATGGTATGCCTAGTATAATTTCTGGTGCTCTATAAAATCTTGAAACTAAGTAAGGTGTTGGCTCATTATAATGAATCTTAGCAGCAGAGCCAAAATCACATAATTTTAACATTGTCTTTTTTTCATTCACTAAAATATTGTCTGGTTTAATATCAGCATGTATAATTCCTACTTTCATCAGAAGTTTTAATGCTAGCAAAAGTTGTCTGCTATAATTCATTAAAGATTTCAAACTAATGCCATTATGTTTCCCATACTTTTTTAATAAACATCGCATGTCCATATTAAATGGCTCCAATACTAGGCAAAGATGGCCTTTGTGTGTAAAATGATGCAATAGTTTTAAACAGTGATACTTGTTTTTAGGATCATTTTCATTTATTTCTTTCAAAATTGCAATTTCTTTCAAACCCGTTCTTTGCATTAACTCATTATTTCGAATAATTTTTATTGCAACATCATTATTTTTGTTATTACTGTCTTGTGCACGAACAACATTAGCAAATACTCCTTGCCCAAGAATAGCTTTAATGATATATCTATTGTTATTGATACAATCCCCAATTGTAACTTTATAATATCCTTCTGGGTCATCCCAATTGTCTACTAATAGAGCAGTTTTATCATTATTATCTTGAGTTATATTCTCCAGATTATTGTTGCAAGTGAATTCATCTTTTTCTGAAAACATATCAGTAATATTTTTCACAGTAGCTCCCTCTGTTTGTTCAATTGAGCTATGATTATTGTTCTCGTAACTAATATGGACATTTTTTGGAGTTCTAATACTAACATCTTTATTGTATGAATCATCTTGTTTCGCTGTCAATTGCTCTAATAGTTGCTTACGTTGTTTTCTGCGTTGTTCAATTATGTATTCTTCATCTTCAGATTCTGAATTGTGTATATAATCATCACCATAATGATAAGTTTCTTTACATATTTTATGTTCATGTTTACTTTTTATATTTTGATAATTTTTAATGTCATTTTTGTTGTCATTGTGTTTACGTTTTCTTTCACTTATTTTCTGTTTTTCTTCAGGTTGATTGTTATATTTCTTAATTTTTTTTAGATTTTCTCGAATAGATTGTCTTTTTTTCAGTAATTCTTCTATAGTGAAATCTTCCATAGTTGGTAAGGGTGGTGTTTTAACATCAACACAAGACTTAGATTTACTCTGAAGTTTATTTGAATTTTTATTTTTTAAGTTCCTCCTAAAATTTGTATTTAAATTTTTCTTATAACTATCAGCCATCTTCTATAAGGAATTTCAGAATAATTATATCAAAAAGCTTTAGTTTTGTATGTTAATGTTGCACTAGACATCTGTAAAAGGCAAACATTTATTAAGGATCTATTTTACTACATAAAATAATAAAAAGCCAACTGACTGAAAAAAACTGAATGCAAGCGGTGTGCTGTGTCAAATTCATGATAGTGTAATATAACTTAATAATATCAAATTTTAACTTGACCATGAACTGTCATGAACTTGACAGAGTTGCAGTTTAAAATTATTGTGAACTATATATCATTGATTACATTTCCACCCTGTGAAATACCATCTGTACCCAGTTTCCAACATTACTCAGATATTTATCTTTTCATGCTGACAATGCAGAAAATGACATCTCATTTTCACATGTCTTGAAATGTATCTACCAACTTCATCCTTATGTCTCTCATTTTACTTTGCCATCCATGGTTAGGTATCTATGTAAAAAATGAATATATTATTTAGGCTGCACAAATTATTTTTAAAATGGCAGTTATAAGTTAGCTTAACCCGATTATAATTTTATTATTGTAAACTCAATATTAAGACTTCTACTCAACAATACTTACGCAATAACTTCTATTTGAACAGTACACATGTCATGAAGTTATCACAGTGTAAATTATTTATACAACTTTAAGACTGATTTTTCAACCCTTCAATAAGTTATATTTGAGTTAAAATATAACAAATTTAAAATTATAGTTGTTTAGAAAAACAGTTCAATTGTTTCACTTTTATATTCAATCCGGTTATAATTTATTTTTATTAACGGATCTTTTATTTAGGCGATTGAATAATCGTCAGTAAGTTACTTTAACATGGTTCAAAATGTTATAAAATTCATAATACTGGTAACTCAGTCGTTTATATTCTTTTATTTCAGTAAATATATTACTGTAATGTAACTTTAAATATATTAATTTATACTGTGAAAGGTTTTCTTTTTCATGATATGAGCACTGTAAAATTTAATTTGGAAATATTACGAGTTTGACAAAAGTTTAATAAGTAATATGTACAAAAATAATTTCATAAATATGTCCCCCTAATTAGATTTAATAGAAGTTCGGAAAAATATTAAATTATAGAAAAGGTATAAAGTATCACCATCTGATTAATATAGTTTTCTGTTAAACTATTAAACACAAAAAAGGTTTCATAACAACCCTAATGACAATAATGTACAAGACCTGTAAGATTGTACGTAATTTTTAAACAGTCGTGAAGATCGTGTACAACTTTATAATTTGTGCGTGTAATATAAAACACATATCACCGTTATACTTATTTTAGTGTACAAAGTAATGTATTGCACAGAATTTATTAATTTTGTTCTTTCTAATTGTTGTTTTTATTATTTGCTCGAGAGAGCAGGCAAAGGAACTAAGCCATACAGCCTTTTGTTCTTTCTAAAATATGACATAAATTAAAATGAAAGTCCTTTTTTTTTTGGAGTTTATGGCCTTTTATCTAGCCCTTTAGGCCAAAAATGGAAGTCGGAGCAATTGCAATGTTGCCAGTTGCCACCACAAACTAACTAGAAAGTAGAAACACTCAGTTGCCATCATAGACTTATATAATGGCGTATAGACGACCCGACAGCCCGAAAACATAGACATAGTATCTTATAGACTAAACATTCAGTGACGTCATCACCGTGTGAAAGGAATGCACGTATATAGTTAGACATAAGAGTAAGGGAGAAGCAAATCTATATTTCTTGTCTCTTTCTAGGTATGCGTTTTTGATTGTTTTCTCTCCTTTATTTGACATTAACGATGTCAAGCTCTTTTGAATAATATTGATATTATAAGCAAACACGTAATTGAATTTAGTGTTTTTTGTGGGTGTTAGTTATTAGGTAAGGTGAAAAAGATGGTAAGTTGTAGCATTTTAGGATCCAACAGCATCAGTCAACGAAAAATTGATAATATTACCTTTCATCGGTAAGTTTGTATTGTGCTTACATTTGCTACGTGTACTGATTAATATCTATTGTTTTGAATATAAAGTGTAACATTTCATGTGTTAAATGAAATTTGTGATGTATTTTGTCAAATATTTGGACTCCCAAATTGTAAATTCTTCATGATAATGCTCCTTCATTTGAACGGTTATTCGAAACCTTAAAGTCATAACAAACGTGTAATTTTTGATTTGGTAGGATTATAGAAACGTTAGGGATATCAGCGAGTACAATAATGTTTTCGCATTATTCAATAATAATTGTTATTGTGATTAGTAGTTATGTCCATAAATATGAATCACATAATGTTATACATATACATACACTTTTATGTTCAGCTTTAAAGGAAATTCCTTATTGCCCTACAACTCTTCAATCATTTTCCATATTACATAGACGTCACAAATAATATGTAAGTATCAACCTGAAAACATGTTTGGATTCAAGTACATAAACATTGGGCAAAGTATATTTAATTTCACAAAATATGTATTGCCTGAAATCAGATGCACAAAACTTTATTGCATTCCATTAATTCTATTATACATTAGCAACAATTACATTACAATATTTATTAAAAAAAATAAATAAATATGTCATACTAATATAAAAATAAATATAAACATAGATAAAATAATTAATAAATAGATAAGTCTTAATCATAAGGTACTCAATAACACAACAACATAAGATAATATTCTCAATTAATGATGTAGAAAAAAATTGATTATAATATACTCACCGTTACCATTAGTCAGTATCAAAAGTCAAAAGTTATAGGTTTTGTGATAGTTGCCTAGCTTGGAGAATTGGCAACTGCAGTTATTTGGAGACAAACGTGTGGGAGGTCTATGTTCAGCTGTGGAGGACATAACTATGTTAGGCTGTAAATGTATTAATTAACAATATCTAAAGCTTAATATGTACATAATTTTTTTAAATGTTTGGTATGAGTAATTGTATTATTACATTTACATATACTTGCTATTTAATTAAATCAATTGATAATGTATTAATTGTTATAGGTATTGTATTTATGCACAGATACCCATACTTGATTTTTTTTTGTTAAATGCCTTGATATAAAAGTGTACTATATATTTTATATATTAATTTCTTTTAAATATATTATTTCACAGCTTTTCTAAGGAATCAGCTATACGTAACTGTTGGATAATCGTTACTGGTAGTAATTATAGGTAACCAACAAAACTTAGCAGTATATGCTCAAAACATTATGAGCCTCATTTTTTTAGGTGGACTAAATATACTTAACTTATGTAATTTATAATATAATTAAGATATTTTTTTAATTGTTATAATTTCTTGTTGTATCTTGTTGTTTCTCCATAAGTGATATAAGTTTCACGTTATTAGTAGTTATGATTTTTGACATTGTTCTGTATGTATTAAAAATTGACTAGCATTGCTTATTTTATTCTCAAATGCTGACATTCTGTATTATTATGAGTTGTAATAATTTGGTTGCATGACAATGACAAAATATTTACTTATAGATGGATTGATTAAACATGAATCCTCATTTACAAATGTTGGAACTTTATCTGTACTACCATGTTTTATGCAAATAAGGATTTAAATAAAAGAAATAAATAAATAATTTGAAATCCTGACCTAAATATACAAATGAATAATTTATTATGCAATAATAATTGTAAAAGTGACTGGGAATGCCTACCAATGGGACATTTAGTCCACCCTTAATCCCTTTTATAAAGGTGTTATAAACAATAATGTGTAAATAAATTAAGAAATAAATATGATAATTTCTATTTAATTGTCATAAATAATGTAATAAAGATGTTTTTGACAAGAGATAGTATTACCTATCTAAGTATAGTTTAGGAGTTGTACCTTATATATATATATATGTTTAAAAAATGCATATTTTTGAGAAATTCTAAAGCTACTCAAACCAAGAATTACAACGAATACTCTAGAACGAAGACAAAAATTTTGTTAAATTTGTTTATTAATGTGATGTAAAATTAATAAATAATCATATGTTTATTTTAATGTTATTGAATTATATTTAATATATAATTGTGTTTTCATGTTTTATTTAATGTAACATTGTTAATATTTCTAAATTTTGTGTAAGTACACAAAATTTAGTTTTTTTCCTTTTTAAATTTCAATATATTTTCATTTCGGTGTTATAAACAATAATGTGTAAATAAATTAAGAAATAAATATAATATGTTATTATGATAATTTTCATTTAATTGACATAAATAATGTAATAAAGATGTTTTGACAAGCGATAGGTATTACCTATCTAAGTATAGTTTAGGAGTTGTACCTTATTATTTATACCACTATAATATATTTTATACAAGGCATATAATATATATACTCCTTTCTAATCCGATTTTAACAACCAGCACCCAAGAATTTCTGCCATGCAAAATATAAATCAAGTTTATAAATGCATATTTTTTAGAAATTCTAAAGCTGCTCAAACCAAGAATAACAACGAATGCTCTAGAAAGAAGACAAAATTTTGTTAATTTTGTTGTTTATTAATGTGATGAAAAATTAATAAATAATCGTTTATTTATTTTAATTTTATTGAATTATATTTAATATATAATTGTGTTTTCATTTGTTTTACTTAATGTAACATCTATAATATAAAAATGAATAGCTGAATGTGTTGCTAAGCGCAAATCTCGAGAGCAGCTGAACCGATTTCGCTAATTCTTTTTTTATAATATTCCTTGAAGTACGAAGATGGTTCTTACGGAGAGAAAATTTAAAATATTGCATAAAAAAGTCTAAAAACAACACTTTTCTATATTCCCATACAAAAGATTCGTAATAATACTTAAAAGTCAATTTGAACTTTAATACCATATCATAAAGTTTAAGTGTTAGTGGAGGGGTTCCGAGAAGGTAGTATCGTATAAATATTAATGTCAATATTTATACACTGGCAGATAGCTGATGTTATAAGGAGTAACTTGGGCTGCTTTTATTTTAGAGTTCC